TTGCAAACAAGACTCTTAGCTACTATTCTGGGAGCAAACAATGGGGGAGGGGATGAAACAAGCTTCAGTTCATTGAAACAGCATTAAATTGTGTTTGGTTAAGGAATGACTATGACTGTAATAACAATAAAGAGATGAGGACACAGAACAGGAAAACCTTCAGACCGTCTCTGGAAAACAACAGTAGTCAAATAGTTCTGAATCACATAAGACAGTACACTCTTGCAAAAAGCTGGCAGGCCCATTAAATTGCCCAACTGAAGAAACTATCCTCAAATACGGTGTTAATCTCAATAGTAAATGAGCATATTGTTATCCTCTTGCCCAATAAAGACATAGGTGATGCTCTAAAAAACGGAATAGAGATCATGTCAATGTCCAGTGGCTTTCCACTGCATTTCCAATAAAATAACAAATTCTTTCTACGGCCCTTAAGGTTCTATGAATCTGACGCCTGCCTCTCCCCAGCTTCACCTTGTCCCAGAGTCCCTGATGCTTGCCAAGCTCCAGCCCCCAGCCTGTTCGGTCTGTGTCCTTGAACCAGCAAGCTCACTCCCACCTCAGGGCCTCTGCACTCACTACTGGCTCATTAATACTGAGATCTCTTTCTTTCACTGGATCTTCATATATCTGATTCTTGGTGATCACTTGAGTCTGTTTTAATTGTTAGTCACTTCTCCAGAACAGCCTTCCCTGACCATGAAATCCGAAGAGCTTCCCCCTGCCTTCACTCATCATTCTTAACTGTATTATGGGGTTTCACTGTCTGCACAACATTTTCTACCACTTGAAATGGTCTCGTCTTCCGCTTTTCAACCGTCTCTCTCTGACTAGGTAAGCTGCAGAGCAGAGCCCTTGGCTGTCTGGTTCACTGCAGAATCCACAACATGCTGGGGGGCAGTGTGCGTAGGACGAATGAGGCAAAGAAAGAACATCCAGAATGGCGAAAATAACGCAATTACGGATGGCTTATCACAGTTCCCGGGGCTGGAGCTGCAGCACCCAGTGATTAAAGGCTGCTTTTGTTATTTTACTATATGAAACTTTTTTTAAAAGTCTGGAAGGCAAAAAAAAAAAAAAAAAAAAGTCTGGCTAAACTAAGTTTTGCTATAGGCTGCTGGCAATACTGTAGATTAGTGATCAGGACGGAGAGACGCCGCAATCATAAGCTACTATGTTCACAGAAAATTTCAAGTTATCAGGAAGAACTTGAGTTACCCAAAGATTTTTTAGGAAAAAAAAAAAAAAAAAAAAACCTAACCGTGACTCAGTAAACCAGAAATCAAGGCAGTTATATTACTTCATTAGGGCTAAAACTTACACCATGCTCTGCATCAATTGTATCTCAGTAAAGCTGGGGCAAAATGACCGATGCTATCCCCAAAACACCACAGCTCTCCTCTCTTCCCAGGCACCTGACAGGACCGCACTGCCCTCCCCACCAGCCAGCCCCTAGCACCCTTGTTTTCAGTTAGATGTGGCCAATCACTACCTCAGACGAATTACATATGAGTAGAAGTGATGTATATCAAGACCAGGCCCCCATCATATCTGGATCTTGAGCCACCGCCACAGCGAACCCACACAGGACGCGCAGCCCAGCACGAGAAATTAAAGGATGGCGCGTTAAGTCCCCGAGATTCCGGAGCGGTCTGTCAGCACAGCATCACACGGCTTATCCTGACTGATGCACCAGTAAAGCATGGTGGCCAAGAACCCGAGCTCTGGACTAGCAAGGGTGTGAATCAGAGCTCTTACCACTTCCTGGGTAAGCGGTCTTGGGCAAGCCATGGCCACCTCTCTGGGCTTTAAGGCCTTCATCCATAAAATGGAGATAATACCTACACTTGACAGAATGTCCACAAAGACTAAGTGAGTGAGAAAACAATGTGCACGAGACTTAACAGAGTGCCTGGCATGTTGCTTTAGCCGTCAGTAGACAGGACGCGGTAGTAAACTCCAGCGTATGGATTTTAAACTACCATGAGCGTATTCAAATGAGGGAACTTAGCTCACCCTTGACGTTCTGTAAAGTAAAGCACTCTAAACTCTTTACTCAATGAAAAATTCTCTTATAAAGTCTGGAATCTCCTAGATAAATCTGGGGGGAGAAAAGGAGGAAAACAGTGGAACATCTGCAAACTTGATGCTGATGAAGCAAGCAGAGGGTATCTGGGATTTACAATGGAGAGAAAAGAAAATGCGAGAATGAAACAAGGAGCACAGCGGCTCCCCCGCTGCCTGCCAAAGGGCCTGGACCCGGCTGGAAGGAACAAACACTCACAGGCAAAACACAAGCAGAGTTCCAAGTTGGGAAGATAAGAGAAGGGGTAAGTGTTGAGTAGAGAACAAACTGGAAGAGAAAGGACACAGACTGTGTGGGTCTAGAGGCTCTGCGGAGCCCAGAGTGGAGGGAGAGAGAGCCTGGGGAGCTACCGCCCCACGAGCCACTTGGAACACTGGTCTAAGACTAAGCAGTTCACAACACTGGTGCAGTAGTCAGCTCTTAAAACACCGTGGGACTCCCACGTCTGCTGTTTCCTCTAAAGAAGCCGTTAGTGCACAATATGGTCTGCTCACTCCGGGGAGCCTTCAGTCCCCAAAGCTCCACCAGCAGACACAGATGAATGAATGATACTGTGCTACTATCATCAAGACCACGCCCACTGTAAGAGACAGACCTGAAGGCTAACTGCTAAAATTCATCTAGGGACTTGCTCAGTCCCTAGAGAGAATAATCTGACCCTAACATCACCATAAAGATTTTAATTAAAAATCAATCTGGTTCAGTGACGCCTGGCTGGCTGTTTCAGTCAGTGGAGCATACGGCTCTTGATCTCAGGGTCATGAGTTCGAGGCCCATGCTGGGTAGAGAGATTGCTTAAATAAATAAGCTTAAAAAAAAAATCAATCTGGTTCAAGTTAAAACTTTTTTAATATCCATATTTTTGTGTGGTTACTTTCAAGTTTCTGAAGCACTGATTGCTCATTTTCACTGGCTGAAAATGAGAACAATAAATATAAGAGGGAAAAACGTAAAATGTCCTGAAACAATTCTTAATTTTTAAGAATTACTGAGTTGTTGAAAAACACTCATCGATTTTACGCCATGACATAAAAACATCATGCAAGTAAAATCCCTCCAATAAGGAAGATACAACTAAAGATGCTGAAAATTTTACTCATAAAAAGTGGACAATTTTTATAATCCAAATAAAAGTTTCATTACTACCAGACCACTTAAATTACATCCAAATCAGAAATGTGCTAACCATTAGAAACATAAGAGGACACTTTTCTACCGATATTTGGCATTTGGCATCAAAGGCAGTCCTCCGCAAATCTGATATTAAAACTTGTCAAAAACAAAATGAAATTGTGAAAAGAGCCAAAAAAAGAAAAGGTTATGGCTACAACTCTTTTGAACGGCATGTGGACTTTCTCTAAACACAAGGTCACTTGATATAAAAGAAACCAAAAAGTGAAAGTATGAGGTGTCAAAACAGGTCAAAAGACGTTAGAAATAAAATCTGAGTAGCTGAATACAGTGTGAGAATTAAAGCCTGACTAAGCCTACGGGTAACCTTGTAGCCACCTGAAATAACTGACTGCTGAACAGAGATGCCCCAAAAGCAAGGTCAATATTTGGATTCCACTCAGAAAGCATTCACAGTCGTTCTCATCCAGAATCCCAAGGCTCTTCTAAGAGCAGTTCTCGGCAGGAAAAGAGCAAGTTCCTTTGGGTGACCAGGTTCACAGATATGTGGAATCAGTCTTCAGATAGAAAAATAAATGAAATGTATGACATATGTAGGCACCTAACTTTGATGAACAAGGACTATGAAAACCCACTCTGTTCGCTTTTCCCCTCCCCCACCTCACCACTTCAAAACTAATTTGGCTTCAAAAGCACGTCAGTAAATCTGCAAGTTGTCAAATAATAGAAACCACGTGCCCCATGTGTTCGCCAGATTCATTTTTTATGATGTACGGTCCTCTGCATTCAAATAAACGTATTTTTGATAAAGGAAAGTAATGAAAAGAAATCAAAAGAATCCATTCCAAAAATCACACATCTCTCAGTGCAACACGGGACTGAACTTACTAAGCGTGGCCACCCTAATAAAACTGGGACTCCAGTTAGAAGCACCTGTAAATGATAAAAAGGTGTCCAAAATTTCAGAAAAGGAGGGACACAAAATGTTTTCAAGTCTGATAGTTTTAAGCTAAGCACAACAAATTAGACTTCACATTGTTAAGTTCTGCCTTTCATATGCTTTAAATGTGTTTATTATGATCTCATAAGAGAGTGTTTCTAACACCCATGAATTTCTGCAACTACAAGTGAGATGATATTAAGACCAGGAAATAAGAATCCTTAGAATCCTCTAGAATACGTTAAGTCCACATAACTGATTTTACTTATCAGAACATCCCTGAGGCTGCAGAAATCTCCAGAGCAGAACTGTTTAATCCCCAGGTAGTCCCACACCCTCCTCCAAGAAACACATCTTATATTTTAATATCTGCCTTCTTGCTTTTATTCTGTCCACAGGTTTTTCAAGGACAGAATGCTTATAAAGTCTCCCACTTGATCAGTTTCAGTCTCTAAAAATAAATTAAATAAATTTCAATCTTCCCTTTTCAGCCAATGGATAATTTACAAAATAAAAAGTATTAAAAATGAAAGCTCAGTAAGTTCCAAAACAAAAACAAAAAATTAACACTACAGTGTGGCAGGGGAAAGGCAGAAACACAAAGTCTCCAAAAACCAGCCCCCCACGCAGGGTTCCATAGAAATGCCGACCCATGCCACAACAGTGCACACGCCACTCCGCGAACAAATACACACTATGAAAGCGATGAACTAGTTAATGGTACTAAGAAACAAAAAAGAAAATGTGGGAGAAATGAATGTGTGTGTTTTGATCTTTTAAAAATCAAGAACTGGTCTAACATCTAGGTAATGTATTTGTATAAATTCTTATTTTTAAACTCACCTGATTCATTTTCAATTCCTGTTGTGTTCTGAAAAGATACACACAACAAAGAAACTTCTTTGATTACATGAGCCCTAAAAAGAAAAACAGACAATTGTAATATGTACCTGCCTACAAATTGACAGTGATTTAAAACCACATACAGAACTACAGAGTTTGTTCAAAGGGCTATTCATAAAGCAGCCCCGTGCCGGCTCAACTTCCATCTATGCTGAGAGCTTACTTTGCAGATTTATTATCTACAATAAAATAGATTTCTTACTAATCTTTACTAGCCCTTCATTGCACTCTACAATCGAAAGCAGACTCATTAGAATGACATCAAATTTTTGCTGTGAAATTGCATCATTCCTACGAAGAAACAGATTCGCTCTGTCAATAGTCAGAAACACAAAGCATTGCTGAGTAATTTATTATGCAATGTAAATAAATGTCCTTCTTTCACTTATATCAATACTGTGTTGAATGCAAACACAATTAGACCCTTTACATTATTTAGTTTTTCAAGTTCCTGAAGTAGGAAAGTAGATTGGCTAACATTTCCACAGGGAGTTGGTCTTTGAAGAGCAAAACAGAACCCTTGTAGTAAAAGGCAAATGTTTTAATAAAGGCTGTTTGGAAAGAACCGTAGTTATCCCTTTAAAATTTGTATTCGGTATACTCATAGTACCCTGAAACGTTAAGACAAAATCATTTCTTATAAATGCATACGACATACTTGTTTCTAAATGACAATCTGTGAAGATGGTGCTTTCTGTCACAGACATCCCGGAAGTCACTGAAGTCACTCACAAGTGAAAGCCATACCACTTGGTGGCCTTTCCACAGCGACGTCCTAAACGCTTCCAGCAGGTACACATACGCACACACACCATCAGGCACAGGTCTCCTATTTCTTTGTGTATTTGCTTTAATAGATTCTCCCTCCTTCCCAGACGCACAAGACTCCACTCACATTGTAGAACTTTTATGTTCTGATTGCTAATAAAACAAAGGAACGTGTGACTTCATGACGTTCTTCATCTTAGAAGAATATGTGGCCTGCCCACTATCATAAAAAAACAGTACTTTGACATTTTACCCCAGTTCATTAATAAGGACAGTTTGCGGGGATTTTTTCCCCCTTGGGCTATTTAACAACACTCACCTGATCACCTTTACCATCAAAGGCACTATATTTAAGTCAGGACCTGGTCATCTGAACTAGTCTTTACTCACAAGTGGCACAGGGATGTAACTTACATCTTGTTGGAGAGCTCGGTGCTAGGTGGACCCGTATAAACTCAGTAAGGAAATACTCCGTGAATATGATTTCAGAAAACTGCAGGTTAACAACCCAGGAGGTCCATCCCTTTAAATTTTCATACTGAACATCTCTCTCATATATACTGAACACGCCTATCCTTAGTATACATCTCCTACTGAGCAAAATCGATCCTTTTCTGAGACTTGAAATCGTCGTGGAGTTAAACTGTGTATCTGGTTGTCACATGCCAAGGTGTGAGCCCCTCTGTCTCCTCTATCATCAGTGTCTACTGAATGCCACACAGTCCACCAGGAGGACCATGACGGACAACGTGGCACCCAGAAGTGAATGAAATGTCAGCGGTTTCACTTGCCCTCTTACTGAGCTTTTACTGATGGATTTACTAACATTGGCCACAGGGAGTCAGTCTTCTTTCAGGAACAGAACTAAAAACCCGCAGTAAAATGCAAATGCTGTCATGAAAGATCTTTGGAAAAAGCTATGATGCTTTACCATTTCCTTCAGCTTGTCTTCCTCTTCCCACAAGAATCATCGGTATCATCATCGCAGCTCTCATTTATAAGGTGTCTTCTAAGAGCAGCAGGAACCGTGCTACACCTTCACGTAAATCAGCCCAGCTGAGTTTTACAGAGGTAGTACTAGCATCCCCAACTATCAAGACAAGTTCGAGGTGGTCAGGGTAACTCAGCCACTCTCCTAAGGGGTTTCTGCCATTGCTTCTTAACCACATGTTTAAATATTTCTTAACCAAATGTTTACTCCTGCCTCCCCTTAACTTATGTGTCAACCACTGTTTTCAACAGTGAGCAGAACAATCCCAGCCCTCTCACGGGGAGAGACTGCAATAAACAAATCAGTAAAATGGGCAGGTCAGGTAGCAAAAGTGCTTTAGGGAAAAATAGAAGTGGTAGGGAAAGAGGGATATAGGAAATACAGTCTCTGTCTCCCTACCTGGGACTCCAACACTGTGGTCAGAGAGGACCTCAGTAAGAAAGGGACATCTGCGGGGCGCCTGGGTGGCTCGGTAGGTTAAAGCCTCTGCCTTCGGCTCGGGTCATGATCTCGGGGTCCTGAGATCAAGCCCCGCTTCGGGCGCTCTGCTCAGAAGGGAGACTGCTTCCCTTCCTCTCTCTCTCTCTCTGCCTGCCTCTCTGCCTACTTGTGATCTCTGTCAAGTGAATAAATAAAATCTTTAAAAAAAAAAAAAAGAAAGAAAGAAAAGAAAGGGACAGCTGCATAAAAGCCAGAAGAAGAGCTGTGGGCCAGGGAGGGTCTGAGGAAGGAGCATCATAAGGAAGTGAGAAACCCTATTCGCGGCATGCCTGGGTGTTTGAAGGAGGGCAAGGATGGTGACAGGGGCACAGTGAATGAAAAGGAAAGTAGAGGAGGTGATTCAGAAAGGTGTGGGGGTGAAGGAGGGATTGGGGGGGCAGATAAAGTATGGGTTTTACAAGGTAAGCACTGTTCACCGAAACAGCTAGAGCTTTTCCATCAGGGCTGGAAAGCCACTGGGAGGCTCAAGGTGGCACACATAATGTGACTTAGGTTTAAAAGAGACCATAAGGGAGCAGGATGGGGGCAAGCAGACCTCTCAGGAGGTCAATGCCCCCAACTAGGCAAGAGATGGTGGCAACTTGGCCCATATAGTAGAAGAGAGGGGAGAAGTAATCAGATCCTAGATATACTTTATACACAGAGCCCCCAAGATTTGCCGCCACGGTAGATGTTAGGTATGAAAGAGGAAGTCAGAGAGGACACCAAGACTTTTATCCTAAGAACACCAAAGGATGGAGCTGCCATATTCTTTCATCAAAGGAGGTACTGCCTCCTTCTTCCCATCTGCTTGTCATTGCTTTTTTCCCCTTCATTTAACACTTTCCTCCCTTCCTTCCTCCCCTTTTGTGGTTGCTGGCTCACAGGCACAATTCAAACAACTGAGACACCATGGCATCTGGCCTCTAATCCCAAAGAACTCAAAAATTAAAGTCCTTACAACATTTTAGTTTTTCATTTGTTATCTCAATGAATCTCATTTTTCTTAATAAAAAGTTACAACAAATAATTCAACTTGTTAAATAATTAATAACTTCTCTGACTTTCTGCACTGTCTGTTCCCTCTTTGTTCTAATAGAACACACTCGCCATTTTTTTCCACAGAAAATGATCTTAACATCTTTTTTTTTTCAACGGTTCACTACATACATGTATGCTTGGACTCTTCTCTCCATCACTTCTAACTAATCCCAACTGCCAAAAACCAGTCTCCAGCGCGTCATTTTTTTTTCCCTCTCTTGACTCACAACATTGTCAGATTATTTATCTAAAATATTTTACAATGTCAAAAGCACTGCAAATCCAACACTGACTTCTCAGATGTTATTTTAAAAAAGTAAATCCTTTATTAAACGATATTAAAAACAAGGGATGTTAAACACAAGAACTGAGAATCTGGCAGTGCCTCTCAAGAGAAGACCACTGCCTTTCGGACTGCGCAAACACTCCTCGTCTGTCCCTTCTATTACAGCCACCTAGCACTGCCCTGAAAAGTCAAGGCCTGCAGTGCTCTCTGATCATTTTGAAAATCAAAAATACCTAAACACCTCCCCAAATAACTTCCCAGCTGAGAACCTCTGAACTATAACAATCATGTAACTTACTAGGATACCACACTATATATTACAGCAACTCTAGATTCTAAAAGCTGTTACTCAAGGAACTTCCCGAAGATTCCGCCGGCAGTGCAAACCCCCTGTGAAAGCTGCCTACAATCCTACATATTTTCATATTAAGTGTTGATCTCAACAGCACTGTTTTCACATACCTACTTAACTAATATACTCAAGGTCCAAGTTTTATCACATGTGAGAACCAAAACTAACAATCCTATTAGTGTGGAGGCGGAGAGGAATCTTTCCAAACCTATCACTGAAACTTAATAATGCCACCAAACTTTAAAAAAAAAAAAAAAAAAAAAAAAAAAAAAGCTAAACAGTTAAGTGCCTCTGGTTTTCCAATAGCAAATACTGAAAATCTTAAAATCACCAAGACTTCTATCCTGGCTTATGCCTTAGTTTCTTTTTTCAATTTCTATACCTGACCAAACCACCTTGAATATTTCTACACATCCCTTCCATTCCAGCTTGCTGACATTTATCAGATAAAGTACAGTAGGCAGATACACAAATTTAGAGCATGTGAATTTTAATCACCTACTACACTTAGCTAATAGCACTCTTTTTTTTTTTAAGATTTTATTATTTATTTGACAGAGAGAGAACAGGAGAGCACAGTCAGGGAGAGTGGGAGAGGGAGGAGCAAGCCCCCCACTGAGCAAGGAGCCTGATGCAGGGCGGGATCCCAAGACCCTGAGACCAAAACCCAAGCCAAAAGGAGCCACTTAACTGACTGAGCCACCCAGGTACCCCAATATAGCATACATTCTTAGAAAAGTAAGAGCATGGTCCTGATTTTACTATCTGTGGCTTCAGTAATATGTTCATACTTAACTTTTCAAGATATTAATTCCAAATTCTAGGACAAATCATCCTTACAAATATTTAAGTTAATAATATAAAAATGATTTGATTATACATGACCAGTATCGATACAGCAACAATAATTAGGGTATTTATTCCAATACTGGTTTCTTAAAGTGTCAAGACAACCTCAACAACTGCGAGGCTACTGCCTCCTGACATGGAGCTCCAGAGACCAGAGAATGGAGAGAGATACACAGGATACCCCAGCCCCTGAGTCAGAACCGTCTAGGAGCCCCCCACATCTCTCTATCACTCATCCTCTGAGATA